AGCAAAGCCTGACTAGGGAACACTTCCTCTGTGCCCTGATGCTGTCAAAGACATAGAGATCATGAGGGAGGATGAGCAACACCATGAGTTGCATGGTGTCACTGGCGGTTTCCAATGCTGATTGCTGGACAGTCAAGGTGTTGACAGAAGATAAACACGGTGCTATGCATCTATTAAAGGAGAACTATGAGATGAGTGATTTCCACTCACCTCATAGTTCTAGCCGACCTGTGACAATGAGACTGTCACAGGTCGGCTCAGTAGATCGGGAGGTGAGCGAACACATACCGGGTTCGCTCACCTCTCGATCCTGTCACGGCTCTCTGCCGTGCCCGGGGGAGGGGCTGGATTCCCCTCTCCCCGCTCCGATCTGCCAGCGCTGACTGGCGGAACGGACGGGGGAGGGGGCGGGTACAGCTGGCTCTGCCTCTAGAAAGGCAGAGTCAGCTGTCACTCACGCAGCTGGGCAGTTCTCGACGTCGGGATCCGCTCCGGCTGCGGCGTCTCAGTATACCGCGAGCTGTAGCTCGCGGTATACTGAGCTTAGGGTAACGGGAGGACGCTAGTTTGTGTCCTCCCGTTACCCTAAGGAGAACTATGGGGAAAAACACTGACCCCATAGTTCTCCTTTAAGCAACATGTGTTAAATGGCTGGTGAATGCACACAGAGTAATTCTAGGGTGAACTTTTACTTTAAATGCCAAATCCCATAACGTTTTCCAGTTAGAACAGTATTTGTAAACAGACTAATAAAGCAAAACTAATGATTTTGTTTTGGATAGAGCATATAAGAGCTGTTTATTTTATTGTTAACTGTGTCCCTGTTGGGGAGATTGCACCTCACTTCCTGTCAGGACAGGGAGAGATAAGAAATCTTACCAATAAGGACACAGACAAAAACAAAAATAAAATTTTAGTAGAATGGGGAAGGGTTAGAATTTTGCCCTACTGTCACAGTCACTATCATTCCCCCCATTTCTGTTCCTTGTGTCACAGGGACAGAAAGTAAGGGAAAATCTTCCCAATGGAGTCAGAGACAGAAGGAAAAATCCAAGTGAAATTAAAAATCTTCCACAGCACATCCAAAATATTATTGGCTAGAGCAGGACTGGAAAGATCCCAGGAGCCAGGTAGCCAATGCTCCCTAAAAATGACAGTCGGGGACAAATCTTCAGAGCCAGGTAGCCAATGCTCCCTGGAAATGACAGTCGGGGACAAATCTTCAGAGCCAGGTAGCCAATGCTCCCTGGAAATGACAGTCGGCACCTATTTGAGGTTTTCTCTAGTTGTTGTAAATGGAGCTGGCTCCGAAAAAAAATCCTGTTGCCTCCTGGATTGGACAAGCTGCCTCCTGAATGCTATAATAATTTGCACACCCCATGGCTAGAATATAGGCTATTAGAGGCCACCTGGGCCCAGACTGCATCAAACAGCACTTGTCAGTTCTAAAAAAGCGCAGTGCAATAGGATGTAAATGGGACAAGGTCCATACAGCCACGTGTACATCTATGCCATGGCACATCTGCTCATTGGGTTCAGTGGGTTCAGGGAGAAGGGGGGGTGATACTAGCAGGCCAACTACATCTGCACCAAAAGAAAAGTTACATTTGCAGCAAACGTATGCTATATGCCAGTTGTAGGCAAACTCCGGCCCTCCAGCTGTGGTGCAACTACAAATGCCATTAGACATTGCAAGACTCTGACAGCCACAGTCATGACAACCACAGATGCATTATAGGATTTGAGGTTTCACCACAGCTGGAGGATCGGAGTTTGCCTACTTCTGCCATATACAATGCTAACAAATCCAGCAAATTTCCTATTAAGATTCACACACTTTGTCCTACATCCACATTAAGCATGGATTGCCCAATATGTCCAGTTGTAGTTTCCAACACATGCCCTTGTGCTGGAAAGCTTTAGTAATGCTGGTGAATGCTCGCCCATCTAGGCAGTTGGCAGTTGTCCTAGATGCACCCAAGTTTTATAAGCAGACACACTACATAAATTGATCATACCAATGAAGCAAGAATTTGCTGTCTAGCTGATGAAGCACTAGAAATTCCAGAAGGCCCTTCCAAAACACTCAGTTTGAGGTGCTTAATTCCAGAGCCAACAATGAAAACATAGCTCCTTGCATGATATCTCCTGTGGGTAGGCCAAGTCATTTGTACTCCACAGGGGACTGTACACAAAGTAGCAAATGAAGAAGAGCCCTGGGGGGCAGAGATGTCAATCATTACCCTGGATCTTGTCATGCGTTAAGAAGAAGAAATCATTTTAAAATGGCTGGGGGGGGGGGGGATAAGCAGATGGTAAAAGGGTATTTTGAAGGTCACTATGCAAGTTCACCGCTGACCTAAAGTGGATCCTTGCAGGGATCTAGGTCTAGGATCAGCCGACTTTACAAAGAGAGAGGTTGTTTTAGACCTGATCTGTACGTAATCTGCTTGTCTTTTGATAAGAACACATTCAATCTCATATCAGAACTCTGTAATGGAAGCTTCAATCCCACAAGAGTGTAGATGTCTCTAATACAACTTCTTCTATTGTCCCCAATACAGGAGCTCAGGCACCACTACCAAAAGCCTGTATTTGGAAGGTTTAGCTGGCCAAAACCATTAGAAATGTTAAATAGTAAAAGTATCTCACTACTAAGGACGTTAGATGCCGGGCTGGATCAGGCTGCAATCTAAAGTCTATGGGGGAACGCTGCTGGATACTGGACAACTGGCCAAAAGGCCCAACCGTTCTCTAATGTCTAAGGCCAGCTTAACTGTATGCATAGCAAGCTGACCAAGTATGATGCAAGTATAACTGTACAAACTGAGCAGATGTAACATTCTAGCTAAGTCTCATTAGTTCTCTGATCATACAGAATTACAGTAACATCCTGTGTCGGAGATTGTCCAATATGCGCTATCCAACGGTTGTTAATGTCTGGGGACTTGATCACTTCCATGGCTTTAAGAGGTCTCAAGACCTCATTCAGTATGAAAAAGTATTACTGAAGACCACAGCACTAAACTTGTTTTAAGGTCTAGAGCTAGTTGCCAAAGTTTAAAAACAACCAGCAAAAAACATTGCTACAAAACTGCTGAAACACTGTCTAGGAACAATGTACCATGTTGCATTTTTGGCTTGCTCACCAGCTTTGATTACTAGACACATTTGGCATGTTATCATCGCTTATTTCAAAATATCTGATTAAAAAGTCCTTGACAACAGAGTCAGAACTGAGAGTATAAATCAGAGCGGACTTTGATGCTCAAAACAGGAGAGATTTCAGGCAAGGAATCTCCAGAGGCACAAACTGTCCCCATGAAAGAGGAACAGTTGGCAACTACCATAGGCAGATTCCATACCGACAAATCCCCAAGTACACTGAAAGTCACAAGGCAGTCTGCTGGCTAAGCGATTAACCCTTTTACCTTATACTACTGAGTTCCAATATCTGACTCCTTCCACAGACACTGTCTGCATGGAGTTTGCCAGATCTGCTCATGTTTTAAGGAGCTTCATCCCACTTATGGTTTTAATAGTTTCCTTTCCGGCTGACTTTTAGGTATACGTGTCTACAGGACAGTAATTGTGAGCTCCTACACTGAGCTGACATTAGGAGGCAATGCTTCCCCAAAATAAATTATTTACCCCCCCCC